TCTGGCCCTTCGGCTCCATATCCATCATTTTGGACGACTGTTCCTCTTTCTGAATGAAGAATCCTCCGCCGCCTCCGATGCCTGACATTGGCGTCGGTGTTGCCGTCAGTTTGCGAGCCGGTGTCCTGATAGGCATATAACCGGCCGGTGCGGGCAATACTTTATAGCCGGGAGGGAAGAGCGAGTCGAGCTCGTCGTCAGTCATCGGTCGGTTCCGTTCGTCAATCTCTTTCTCCCATCGGAAGGCCTGCATCTGTTCCGGAGTCATGGGAACTAACTGTCCCGGAGATGGAGTCGCCATTGCCATAGCTTTGGGGCCCATAGGAGTGGCACCGCTTGGGGTGATTGGAGTCATAGATGGGGTCATCATTGAAGGTGTGGCCGGTGTCATAGAACCGCCGGCTGCAGGTGTCTCATCCCATCTCGACCTGCGTTTGGATGCGCCGGGAGTGGGCGTGTCTTGAATGAGTTCGGCGCCTCTATCGGCACGTGGAGTCTCAGCCCAGCCCGAGACGTGTCCGGGAGTCTCTCCCCGTTCCGTCTTTGGCGTCTCATCCCATCGGTTGCGTCGAGTACTCGACTTAAGACCAGGAGTTTCGTGACCAGGAGTTAGAGGGGTTGTTGACGGGTGTATAGGTGTCGGGTCCCACCTTTCGGGAACTTTGGAGTCCTCTGAGTCTCATCCCATCGGTTGCGTCGAGTACTCGACTTAAGACCAGGAGTTTCGTGACCAGGAGTTAGAGGGGTTGTTGACGGGTGTATAGGTGTCGGGTCCCACCTTTCGGGAACTTTGGAGTCCTCTGTAAGGTGACGTCCAGGTGTCTGGTCCCACATCCCGGGTGCCGCAGGTGTGGCCGCTTCTGCATAATCCCAACTCGACTTTTTCTTAGGGGGTTCGTCAGCAGTGGGACCGGTCTGGGGCTGATCCCAGCGCCGCCTTTTGCCAGACTTATCGTCAGAAACGGCTTTCAATTCGCCTGATTTTGATTTGTCAATAAGTTTTTTACGTAATTCGGCCTAAAATATCAAAATTAACAAAAATTATTACTCAATTCATAGACAGTACTCATACATGAAGGGGAAATACAGTACCTCTTCCTGAGAGACGGCCGCCTCTTTGATAATAGTCTGATAAGTACGGGCTCTGGCATCGGGTGTTTTGCCGCCTGTAATACACGCAAAATAGACAGGAATTTGGTTAAAATAATTGCACAAAAAGTTTCACTTCTATTTAATATTTTGCAAAACAAGGCTTAAAATCTCAATTCAGATCAAAGCCTTGTTTTAGCATTAATTGCAATGAAAGTCTCAAAAATTGGAGCAAATTTACAAATACATAAACAGAATAGAAACCAATAACTGATATTAAACTGAATATAACAGCAATCCGTCTATAAATGACTAAATGGTGATAAATATGAAAATAAAGCTCCAAATGTTGACACTTATCGTACGTACATTTGTTTGTCCACATCTATAGACCTCACGAGTGGTCTAATGTCTGTCTAAAGCCTGAAAAATAGTCTCTTTGTCATTAGTAACGGTTTGTACTTTGATTTCATTCACACAATCAATTCAGTCCCTAATTATCATTAAATAATTAGAAATCATATCAATCCCTAACACAACACATACTATAATTGGTGTTGACTTCAAGAGATTATGCGAACAAACAGTTTATGTCCAGAAGACTGGAGAAAAAGAAACTTCGATTAGACTTCCAGTTAACTCGAAAAATACAAG